CTCCTCCTCCTCCTCCTCCTCCTCCTCCTCCTCCCCCTCCTCCTCCTCCTCCTCCTCCCCCCCCTTTCTCCCGCCCGCCGAGCGCCTCCGGGGCAGCGCCGAGTCCCGTTCGGGGTTCCTCCACCTTCGCATGCGCGGCGAGGCGCTCCGCGAGCGCCGCCGCGACGCCGCCGTCACTCGGCGCCTTCCAAGGGCGCCCCCCGCAGCCACCATGTTTGCGCAGGCCGCCTCGCCGAGGGGAGATCGACCTGGCGAAACCGCTTCACCTGGCAGCATGGCTTCGGAGGAAAGGGGGGAATGAGGGGGGGTGAGGGGGGTGAGGAGGAGCGCACTAAAGCGAGAGCGAGGGGAGGAGGAGGAGGAGCAGCAGCATAGCAGCAGCAGGAGGAGGAGCAGGAGGAGGAGCGGAAGGAGGAGGAGGAGGAGGAGGAGGAGAAGGAGGAGGAGTGGAGAAGGAGGAGGAGGAGGAGGTGGAGGAGTAGGAAGGGGTCGCGAAAAAACGCTGCGATGCTGTGCTGTGGAGGTGCGCAGAAGCAGGGAGTGACGGGGAAAGGGGGCACCAAAAGCAGGAGGATCGGAATAAGGCAGCGGAAGGGAGCTTGTCTCCGAGAAGGATCAACAAGGATTCGCGCGATTACCCCCCCCCCGCACTCGGCCTCGTCACCCTCGAAGTCTGTGTGCGCGCTGCTCCTGGGAGCCGCAGATCCGATGGCGCGCGGCCCGTTCCAGGTGCGCCCGCCCGCCGTCCCCCTTGCACAACACCTGGCGTGGAGCAGGAGGAGGGGGGAGCTGGTCGGTCGTTATCTGGGATCACGTCCGAAGCCGAGCTCATTTCCTTGGAGTGGGGCTTGGCGGAAGTGACCGCACGGGTAGGGTAGATGGCGGGATGAGCAGGGTAGCATCTAGCATAGTACAGCGCAGAGGGTGGGTGATTGCACCTGGGCCCAATAGGAAAAGAAGAAGAAGAAGAAGAAGAAGAAAACGAAGAAGAAGAAGAAGAGGAATAAGAAGAAGTGAGAGGAAGAGAAGGTGGTGCCGCAGAGAGGGCAGGAGAGACAGGACCTCGTCGGGACCCCGCTGGCCGTAGACGATTTGGTGGGCTTCTGCTGGGCTTCGATGCCGATCCGCTTCTCCTGGTCCCAGTGTTTATGTCAGCAAGCGGGTGGGCAACGGATGGGACTGGTCCTGTGTTTGAACGGATCGGTGCTTCTCCGGGCCAAAGGGAGGAGGTTGCAGAAGGAGCATCGGGTGTTGCTAGAAGTACCACTGGCCCAAGGTACCCCCAGGATTCGCGGGGTGGCCCGGGCGGCCCCCAGGGCACCCCTCACGAGGGAGGACCCCAGGAGTTCCAAAATGGAGCGAAAGGCTGGGGGCATTTTGGGCCAGGGGCACTTCTAGCAACACCCGAGGAAGGGAACAAGCAGTGGCCTAAACATAAAAGCTCGAAAGCCCCCGCGGATTCCTCGGATCGGAGCTGGGGCGCCCTGTCGGCGAGTCCAGCGCCGCCCCTGGCGCGCTCCGCCCTCCTCCTTCTCCTCCTCCTCCTCCTCCTCCTCCTCTTCCTCCTCCTCCTACTACTACTCCTACTCTACTCCTCCTCCTCCTCCTCCTCCTCCTCCTCCTCCTCCTCCTCCTCCTCCTCCTCCTCCTCCTCCTCCTCCTCCTCCTCCTCCTCCCTGCTCCTCCTGCGCCTCCCTCCTTCTCCTCCTCTTCTCCTCATCGCGCCGATCCGAGGAACCCGCGCGGATCTCCGAGATGGTGTGCGCATGTGTGTCACTGCTCGTTCCCCCCAGAGGTGGCGGAGGGAGGACCATGAGGCGCACAGTCTTGCGGGGCGAAGTGGCGGGCGGAGATGGGGGCAGTCGTCGTCGAGCTGCAGCAGGAGGATGTCTTTGACTCCCTGCGTGTTGCCTTGCCACCCAGCCCAGCGCCCAGACCTCCCACGCCTCGCTTCGGTCTGCTCCTGGCCCCCGGAGCCCCCCGGCCGCTTCCCCGGCGCCAGCGCTTCGTCCCGGGCCAGCCCCCCGATGACCGATGGTTCTCGAGCAGGAAATCATCGATGACAAAAGGACCCCTAAGCCGAATAACACGATGAAAACGCGGCCTCACTGAGGTCCCTGTCTTTGCATCAGGGATGAAAGTTCTGGGCGGTTTGGTTCGATACATCTACAGAAAAGACACCGTTTTTTCTAATGTGTTTGGCCCTCCTAGTTTAGGTCACCTCCCACAGGGTTAGGGGCCCTTTTTTGGACAATCAGAAAAGGGGGGAGGAGTTCAAAGAAGAAACAGCGCATACACATAAGCTTTCGACGCTCCGCGCTGATGTTTCTCGGATCTGCGCTGGACCACCCCTGGCGGTGCCTCTGGAGGTTGAGGTGGCCGTGGCCCAGCACGGGTCGCCATGGGGGAAGCGGGTCCCGAGGGAAACGGGTCATAAGGTGTTTCGCCCTTCTCAGGCTCTCGGGGCCCGCCACGGGCCCCGGGGCTCCCAGAAAACGACTCTGGATGAAGATCTCGTCCTGGGGGAAGCCCCAGGGTCCAGGACCCGTTTCCCTCAGGGGCGGAGGAGGAGGAGGAGGAGCAGCAGGAGCAGGAGCAGGAGCAGGAGGAGGAGGAGGAGGAGGGAGGAAGATGAAGAGGAGGAGGAGGAGGAGGAAAAGGAGGAGGAGGAGGTGGAGGAGGAGGAGGAGGAGGAGGAGGAGAAGGAGGAGGAGGCGGAGAGAAAGGGGAGACAGGGGGCCCCTGGCCGCCACTGCCGGCCGCGGCCGGCAAAGCCTCGGACACTTGTCGGCGACGGAAAGAGGAAGCTGCGGGACCGCTGTTGAGCGAATCGCCCCCCTCTCTTGACACATGTTCTTTGGGACTTATCAACCTCGAGCCCTCACAGCGTGAATTAGTTACCTACCCCGCTTCCGCTTCCAGACAAAACCAAGTCATACCACGCGCCTCCTCGTCAAGCGGCCTGACCAGTACAGGCCGTAGTTTGGCATCGCTTGGTATCTCTTGGAAGCGAGGGTGGTCAAAAGCGAGGTAGGTTTGTTTTCCCCCAACTCTTGACACATGTTCTTTGGGGCTTGTCAACCTCGAGCCCCCCAGCCGCCTCCCACCCACCCCTGTCCCTCTCGCCGCTGACCCCGGTAAATGGGAGCTACTGTGTGGCCAGCCTGCACGAACGACGTACCTTTGGCTGACCCGGGCTGCTTGGCGCCAGCCCGGGCCAGCGCGTGCCCGAGCCACGGCGTCGGAGGTCTGGGAAGGTCGCACAGTTTGCACATAGGCGCCCCGTCGTACGCGCTACTCGGGCAGCGAGTGGCGCGCATCGTCCTGGGTTTCTTTGCACGTTTGGCGGCAAGTAGCTAGCCGCGACAAGTCAGCTCCCGAGACCCGCCGCGCGACCACAGCGGGCGGGTAGTGCATCCCGTACCTGGCGCCCCCCTTCCCCAGCCTCCTCAGACTTTTTGCGTTGCGCGGACCAGGGTTCGCTGGAAACCTCCTCCGCCTCTCCCTCCTCCTCATCGCCCTCATCCTGCTCCTCCCTACCCTCCGTCTCTGCCCCCTTCGTCCCTTGCTCTCCTCGGCATCCTTCGCCCCCCTGCCCCTCCCCCTCCTCCCCTCTCCACTGGGGCTCCCTCATCCCTCCCCATCGTTCCTCGTGCCCCCCCATCACTCCTGATTACTCCCCATCACCTCCTCTAGTACGGCGTTAACGGTGCGCGTATCACATAGTAGTTTGGTCTCTTCTCAGTCCTACTCCCCTCTGCACCGCACTCCCCCCATCGGCAACGGGGTACCACTGCGTTGCGCGGTGCAGGATCTGCCTTTCTGGCATTATTTGATGATCTCAGGCTTGTTCCCCCGTAATCCTCCTGGCATTAATGCTTATCATCCTGTTCGTTAGCAGCAGCAGCATCAACATCATGAGAATAACCATCGCATTTCTTATTAGCAGGGCCAGTTGAATGATCAGTCCAATTCCCTCTTCATCCTTCTCCTCATGTCTCATCCTTCTCTCCTCCTGCTCCCCCTCATCTTTCGTCTCCCCCTGTCCTCCCAATCCTCCCCTCCCCCTCTCATCGCTCGTCCTGTTTATCCCCCCCTCCCTTCTCCGTCGGGGGTCAAACACAGAATCGGCCCCTGGACCCGTGCCGTGAGGGTGCGCCCCGGCCCGCATCTCGAGGGGAGCCCAGGCACAGGCCGTGAGCGCCCTCCGCCGGAGGCCCGGGAAGCCGCCCGCAAAAGCGTCCATTGCTGGAGCCCCTCGCGCCCGCGGCGCGAACCCCGCCCGCTCTTCGTCCACTTCCCCAGGCTTCGGTAGCAAATCATGGGAGCTTTGGGAGGTCCTCCTCCTCCTCCTCCTCCTCCTCCTCGTCCTCCTCCTCGTCCTCCTCCTCGCAATTCCGTCTTTAGCGTCGACTAGCGTCGATTAGCGTCTGGAGTCGATGAGATGGCATCGATGTAGCGTCGGCTAGCGTCGATTTAGCTTCGAGTAGCGTCGATCGATCGTCGATTCTCATCGACGTAGCGTCGATTAGCGTCGAGTCGAGAAGAGCCGACAAGATGGTATGGGAGGCTCCCATGAGTTGCCACCGAATAAGTTATCCCTTCCCCCCACGAGTTCTCTGGACAGGTGTATCTGTCAAGGGGGGGGGTGATTGACCTTCTGACGGAGTTTGCCCATCCCCCGCCCTCCTTTCCTCCCTCCTTCCCCTTCTCTCCCTCCTCCTCCTCCTCGGGAATGCAAAACGGACGAACCTGACATGTCCGTTCGATGACTCACGATGTCTTGGACGGAGCAGAATTTAGCCGTCGCATTGGCACATCTGCTGGATTACGATTGGGCGTGGGATAACGTAGTCCTCACGGGCAGGGTCAACAACAACGGCAGAAGGGGGGACTCTAGCGGAATCGCGCACGACAGTACCACAACCCATCATGATTCCAGTCGCCCACGCTTGGATGGGCAAGGAGCTGGAAGTGCAGCTCCACGAGCACAGCAAATTACAACACCTGGACCAACTTATTCGGGAGGCCCAGCGAGGGGGGTAAGCATGGAAGCACCAAGGCGGTATTACAATCGCAGGAAATTGACCAGGACAGGATGGACAGGGCGGCCGTGGCCATCGCCGTTGTGAAGGCGCATTGTGACAGCGCCATGTACGGTCAGCTATATGTATCTATGTTGGGCCGCGGTGCTGCGTGGAATTTCGCATCAGCAGCAGCCGTGTCGATGCACAGACGACATCGTCTCAGTCTGCGTATGGGGGGTGCTGTATCTAGTCCGTTCGTCGGGACACAGGCTTGCTCACTGGAGCTAAGCTTGCTGGCAAATCTGCCCAGGTGACGGTGAATGACGCTATTGCGGTTTGTTTGGAAAAATGCGTTCGCGCGGAGAGGGGCATCTTGATGGACAGGATAGTTCCCGGCTATTGGTTATAAGTTGGTCCGATGATGTGTTTCACCGTCGATCGGAGCCTATTCGACGCTACAAAAATGATTGGGGATTTGGAAACAAAGGTAGGACACCATCTTAGGACGACGTCAGGGAAATCCTAACATTTGCACAGATGTGGCACTCCAGTTACGCATTCCATGATGGTAATGGGAAGCAGTGGGCGGTACAGACAGTATGCAGAGTTCTCTGGGCCTTTTGTGTCATGGTCCCGCAGCCTCGCAGCAGACATGGATCGGACCATCAAACCAATATACAGAGCATAGTTTAAGCATTCTCAATTGCTGACAAACCAAAAAGTCGACCTGGTGCGCAGAGCGAAGGTGCTGAATCAAATGGCCCATGGGATCATACGGTCACGAGCTGCTGCCTGGTCGCCGTCGCAGTGTGTGTGCGAAGCTTCTGGGCAAATAAACATCCGAAGTTGCTGAGCTCGAAGGCCAAAGTTAGGATGCAGCTGGGAAGAGTTCAAGCAGTTTTCATTTAGAAGATCTCACATTACGACGAAAGTCCAGTTGGAACAATAGTCCCATACATGTATATCGTAGGGGCTTCGCCCTCTGCCGCCGGCCCCCCTATTATTAGTGCGTGCGGCTGCGTGAATAGCGCCGTGGGTGCTTCTCGTGGCAGGCTTCTCGGCAGCGTCTGCGGGTCATTGTTGGAGCTTCTTGGAAGCCGTTCGGGAGCATCTTGGGGCATATTTGGGGTCTCTTGGAGGTCTCCTTCGGCCCTCTTGGAGGCCTCTTGGGGTTCTCTTGTGGCCTCTTAGGACCTTCTTGGGGCCTCCTGGGGCCCTCTCGGGGCGGAAAGGTCGAGTTTTCGGTTCGTGGATTCCGTCTTGGGCCTCTCTTGAGACCGTCTTAGAGCCCTTTTTGGCCGTCTGGGGCACCTCATGGACAGTATTGGGGCCCTCTTCGGCCGTCTTGGGGGCCTCTTGGACCGTCATGGGAGCTTCTAGGGCCGTCGTGGGGCGATCTTGGGAACCTATTGGTCCGTCTCGGAGCGTCGGAAAACCGAAAGGGCGAGGAGGCCAAAGACCTACAAAAACGTTGGGGACGTCGTTGATTTTTGCTTCGTGGGGCCCTCCTGGGAGGCCTTTTGGAGGCCTCTTGGCCGTCTTGGCAGCATCTTGGGCCGTCTCTGGGCCATCTTGGGCCGTTTTGGGCTCCCGACGCTCTCTTCGGAGCCTCTTCGGGCAATCTTGGAGGCTGCTCGGGCGGTTCTGACCGCGCGGTGGCGTCACCATGAGAATCCTGAGGTGGCCCGGAGCAGCCAGGATGTGTGGTTCATTCCTCCCCCCGTTGGTTGTTTGGTGGCTCGGCGGGTCCCCTTAGCACAGGGTAAAGAGGAGGCAGGAAAAGGCCAAACAACACATGATAGCACATAACACATGATAGCAGACCGTACACACCTTCGCAGCCTTGCGCCCCCAGTGTGGGCCAGCAGATATACATATCTCTATAATATAACACGATACAATATAATAGAGCGTAACAGAATAGACTATACCTTAATACAAGGTTCTACACTATGAAATCGTACCGTTTGTCGTAACATGTAATTGTATACTATGATATAGCATAATATAATATACTATACTCTAGTACAATCAAGTACAATGTACTTTAATATAATAAAATTGAGTGTGCTATAATCGAGTATAATATGATATAATTTAATATATTAACATATACACCACTATGCTATACGATAGTAAAGTATATTCGAGAAAACTGTAAGATACTACAATATATCATAATACGCTACAACATATTAAACTACCATATCACATGGTAGGATCTGATACAGAGTATGAACTAATGTAATATAGTGTAACATAATACAATATAACATAATATCATACATTGTAGGCGATTGTAATGCAACATAGTATAATGTAATATACGATCGTATCTAATAACAGAATATATATATATGTGGTAACGCAATATAATGTAACCTACTGTGGTATAATAGGGTGAAATACATTATAATATAATATTATATCAGACAATACGATACTACACTACACTATACATATACATTCATATTTCCAGGACTCCCAGGCAACCACGGGTCCTTGGCCAGGCCCCCGGCTTACAGTCATAATGTCTGGGGCACGGTCTTATCTTCGCGTTTGTGAGTGTCCAAGACGGCCCAGAAGGTTGCACATGGCAGAAGCGTTCCCGACCAGCGCGGGCCACTTTTGTGGATCCGACTCCTTCTCTCATCGTTGGCGCCCCCTTATTTCCCCTCCGCCTTCCTTGGTTCTGGTGCTCCTCCCATTCCTTCCACTCCAGTTCCTGCTGCTGCTGTTCGTCCTCGTCCTCTTCTTCCTCCTCCTCCTCCTTCATCCTCCTTTCTTTCCTCCTGCTCATCCTCCTGCTCACCCGCTACCTCCTCCGCCTTCTATGGACGCAGTTGCCCCCCTTCCGATTGCGTATAACAAGACGGGGCTTTCTGTGAGAGCTCCACGTCGGCTATGATACGCGTCCGCGGATATATAGAGGAAATCCGCGCAAGGGGGAGGGAAGGGAGGGAGGGACAGGATGTCGGATATGGCGCGGGCACGCCTAGCCTCAAGTCGGGCATGTCTTTCCAGGAGGGAAACTCACAACCAATCTAAAAGATAATCCAGGAACGACTTGTCGACCACGTGTGGCTGTCTTTGAGCATGTGTTGACTACTACGTTCTACTTGTCTTGCAACGTGAGCCCGACCTGAACCTAGCCTGCCGCCCCCCCCCATCCGAGGCAGGAATGTATACATGACCACGTCCGGGGCACCAGGACGTCGGTTCCCGGGCGGTGGACATAGATAAATCCCCGCCTCCCACCCCCACCCCGCTCCTCCTCCCCCCACCTCGCCTCGCCGCGGCCGTGTAGCGCGCGCGGGCGACCTGGGCGGGCGCAGCCCCCGGGTCCGGACCCGCGCTGCGCTTCCTGGGCGGGCGCGCCCCGATTGGGGGCCGGACGGCGGAGGGACGGACTGGTCCTCCTCCTCCTCCTCCTCCTCCTCCTCCTCCTCCTCCTCCTCCTCCTCCTCCTCCTCCTCCTCCTCCCTCCTCCTCCTCCCTCCTCCTCCCTCAGAGCGGCCTCGGGCCCTCGTGGGGTGGTCTCGGGCGGCCAGGTCGGCAGATGCGGTGCCACTGCCGGGGGCGGCGGGGGTCTGGCTGGGCGCCAGGGGGCTGGCTCTTGGGGGCGGTCTAGGCCTAGGCTTATGATGTTCCAACCTTCTCTAGCCTTGATCACCAGCAAGAATCTCGAGCACCAGAATACCCCAAAACTCAAGGGTTTTTACGTTTCGGGCCCTGGGAGACATTTGTACGACACTGTTTCGACAGTGTTTCGACCGTCTTTCGACACTTTTCCGGGTGCTCGAAATTATTTCTGGGATGTGGTCTTTAAGTACGACGGGAGCAACATAAGCCTAGCCCCCCCCTCCCCCCCACAGTGATCAGGCGATCGCAAATCTGGACGAACGAAATGGGTACGGAAAGAATGGATACGATGCCCAAAAGCAGTTCCTGTTCATTTTGAACAGGACTCGCTGTCCGCGCCGCCGTGGCCTGTGTCCATTTGAGACAGAAGGCCGCTTGCCCAACAGCGGCCGCTGATGGTTTGGGACAACATTAGTTGTCGGGCATTGTGCCCATTTTTTTCGTACCCAGTTCGGGCGTCCAAAGCAAACACTGGGGTGGACCCCAAAGGGTGTCCAGCGACAGGGGGGTGGTGCAATAGGTTTGGTGCATGAGATTTGTCAGGTTGCAACACACTCGCGGCGTGCAATACCTTCCGGGCCGCAGATGTATTGTTGGATTTTCGCGTGCAATATATTGTTTGCAATACAATGCAATACAATTCTCCGGCGCAGTACATTTGCAACACAATTGCCCCAAATCTATTGCACCACCCCCTTTCAGCTAGACCCCCTTTGGGGTCACCCAAAAACACGGATCAAGGAGGCGTGGATTAGCGACGGGTCCCGTTTTATGGGAAATCGCGGATGTCCAATGCCGGACGAGGCGGCGCCGGCCGCATTTTGGGGGAGGGCACTTCCCCCGATCCATGGGTTTGGCGACCGCGCGCCAAATCCATGGATCGCCAATCCATGTCTGCGCGCCCCCGGTGCGGTTAAGGGCTTCTCGTGGGGGGGATCGCCCGGTCTGGTTCATCGCCGATCCTCGCCATGATCCCCGGTCGGAGGAGGAGGAGGAGGAGGAAGAGGAGGAGGAGGACGAGGAGGAGGAAGAGAATGAGGAGGATGTGAAGTAGGGCGAGGACGAGGAGGACGAGAAGGAGGAGAAGGAGCAGAGGGAGGAGAAGGAGGAGAAGGAGGAGAAGGAGGAGGAGGGGGAGGAGGAGGAGGAGGGAGGAAGAGGACGAGGTGGTTGAGGAAGAGGAAGAGGAAGAAGACGGCGAACCGAAGAGCCAGAAGCGTCTTGAATGCCTTTTTTTCGGAAATCCTCTTGAGGCTTCTTGGGGGTCTCTTGGGAGCCTCTTGGAGGCCTCTTGGGCGCCTCTTGGGGACGTCTTTGCGCCTCTTGGGGCGCTCTGGGGGCGCTCTTGGGGGCTGTAGGGGCGCTCTTGGAGCCATCTTGGAGGGAGTCGATCAAACAAGAGGGGGGCTCCAATTAGCCTCCCGCCTCGGGAGCCCCATAAATCGCCTCTGGGGCCCCTCTTGGAGCGCTCTTGGAGAGCTCTTGGGCGCTTTGGGGGCCGTTTTGGGGCTCTCTTGGGCCTCTCGTGGGGCCTTTTTGGGCCATCTTGGGACCATATTGAGGCCTCGGATGTCCATCGGAAGCGAAATGGCGAGAAAGCAAACAAAACATTGTTTTTTTTCTTTAGGTTGTGGGACGAATTTGGCCTCGTCGGGGCCTCCTTAGGGAGCTCTGTGGCCACTTGGAGCCGTCTTGGGGCCGTCTTTGGGCCTCTTGGAACCATCTTAGGAGCCATCTCGAGCGATCTTGCGCTATCTTGAGCCATCTTGGAGCTCATCTTGGGCTCTCTGGCGCGCTTTTGAAGCCATCTTGGGGCCAAAAGAGCCGTCCGACCGCTCGCTGAACCCTCCCTCCAGGTCCAGGGGAGGGGGTAGGGGGAGGGGTAAACCCCTCCCCAAGGGGGAAGAGGGAGGGGTGGAAGAGGATCTGTTCTAGACCACCTACGCCCAGAGGGCTGGTGGGATTTCTCATCCTGTGTCGTTGGTTGACGGCCTCGAGGCCCAGTAAGGGCCCCCAGAGGCCGAACATAGCGAAACATGTCTCGATGTGTTTCCAAACGCGAGGTGGTCTTGGTCTCGCGCTGTGGAAACAGGACGGCCGTCTTTGCTGGCCATTCTCGGCTTCTGGGAGCCTTCATCGGACCCAGAACCGTGCGTGGGGAGCAGGAGAATGAGCAGATGGACAGGGGGAGGAGTGAGGAGAGGGGCGTGTTTCGGATTGTTCCCAGGCACCCCCTTTGCTTCGGGTGCTGGTTTTGAGTGCAGCACTGCTGCTCCTGTCCTTCCACCTTCCTGGCCGTCGCCTCCCGTGTCTCCTCCTCGCTCACTCTGGGCGTTTCCAATTGCGCAACTATCGGCCTCTTCGTGGGCTCCTGGGAGGTCCAGCGGAGCGCGGTGCTACGAGGGTCCAAACGATCGGCCACGCGCAGATGGGGGCTGGGGGGGGGGGCCTCTTAGAAACACCCCTGCTTACTAGAAGGCACGGGCCTTGTCGAAAGATGCAAGGCTGGCGCCTTCTAAGAAGTAGCCTCCTTTTGAGAAGCCTTCCCCCCTCCCCCTACTCTCTGCTCCCTCTCTGGCGTGCCGCCAAAACGAGAGATTCGCACTCCGTGGGTGCCGCCAGCGGCGCACTTGTCGCCGTGTTCGCCAGTTTTCGCCTCTCTCTCCCCTCCCTGATGACACCCCATTCCCCCTCCTCCTCCTCCTCCTCCTCCTCCTCCTCCTCCTCATCCTCATCCTCCTCCTCCTCCTCCTCCTCCTCCTCCTCCTCCTCCTCCTGCTCCTCCACCTCCTCCTCCTCCTCCTCCTCCTCGTCCTCCTCCTCCTCCTCCCGCCGCCCTTCCCTTGGTCTCTCCTGCTGTGCTTCCCTCCTGCGCGCGGTTGCAGCGATTGTCGGCATTTCCATGAATTTCTGCGAGGTCCAGCGGGGTGCAGTGCTGCGCGGGCTCAGTCTAGATGTCCCTCTTTCGTCAGCTTGCCCAGACAAATGCGAGTGGCAGCGGGTCCAAACTAAGTGCAGTGCTACGCGGGCTGAGACTAGGCGTCCGCCTTCCCTTGGGTGCTGCCAGCAGCGCAGCTGTCCGCACTTTCGTCAGCTTGTCCAGCCAGGTGCGACCGTCCGCGGGTCCACACTGAGCTTCCCCTGCCGTGGCGCGGACAGCCGCACATCTGGAAGCGTTTTCGCGGCGTCCTGGGAGGTCCAGCGGAGTGACGCCCTACAGGGATCCAAACTATTGTATTCCCGTCCCTTGGCGTTGATATTCCAGCATCTGTCGGCACTTCTGTGACCTCCCTCTTGAGAGGTCCAGCAGAAGTGACGTTTTTCGGCGGCGAGCGTGGTGGGGAAGTGAGAAGGAGAAGGCATTCTCAGAGGCAGCGGGACTTCTCAGAAGCCCTCGCGCTTTCTGACAAGTTTTCTGTGCCGGGGGGAATGGAAAACTTCTCGTTCCCCCCCGGGCTCGCCGCCGAGCCTCACGGGGATCCAGACTATTACATCCCGTGTCGGCACTTCGGCATGAGCGTGTTGGGGTCAAGCGGCGTGCGGCCCCGCACGAAGACGCACCCCACGGCCTTGCCATCCGTCGTGAGTGGGTCGGGTACGCCCTTGGGTGAGTTGAAGATGTTCGCACTGCTGCTCGGGCTTTACATGATGGGGGAACAGAGAGGAAGGAGACGAGGAGAATGAGGATGAGAAGACGAGGAGGCTGAGGGGGAGGAGCAGTGGGAGAAGGAGAGCAGAGAAGACAAATAAGAGAAGGAAGGACGAGGAGGTGGGAGAAGGACGGGGAGGTGGAAGGAGGAGAGGAGGGCGGAGGAGAACGAGAACTGCGAAAAAAGGGAGGATGAGGACAAGGGTGAGAAGGAGGATGAGGAGGACGAGGAAGAGGAAGGGGAAGAGGAGGAGGAGGAGGACAAGGGCGAGAAGGAGGCAGATAATGACGAGGGAAGGTGCGGGGAGGGGGGGAAGAGGAGAGCAGACGCGATAATACCAGTGCGCTCCCGTTTTTCGTTCGCCGGGATCCCCCGGATGAGCATTAGGCTTTCTGCGGTCGATTGCTCTCCAGCTCGCTCGCTCCTCGTCGCCCCCCCCCCCCCCTTGTCGGCTGCCTTGTGTGCAGATGGAGGTCCTGGAGGTGAGGACGTTGCCAGACGACAGAGAACACGCATTCTGTAGGTGCATCGATTACACGCCAGTCATTGAAGCTAGGCATTTCTGGGTTCGCAGATCCCGATCTGCTTCAGGCGCCTTCCTACTTCAAGAGTCGATAATGTTGTTGCTGTGCTGTGCTATTCTCTGGGAGGGCCTGAAGCCAATCTACAGGATCCGCCGTGCCACTGCATGTTTCGGGAGAAGAAAAAACACAGACACAATTAATCGCCGATTTCCCAGAAAACATTGGAAAATATGCGAAGTGGGGGGGAAGACGAGAACCCAGAAAACATGGGAAAGTATAGGGAATCCGGTCCTTTGAGTGTATATACTTGTATGTCCTTGTGTCCCTTCAATGTTTTCTCACCTACTCCTTCCGACCGACCGGCACAGCTCCAGGCCTCTCGGATGGGGCCCGCGGCGGTGCATCGCGGCGCACCGCCGGTGCATCGCCGGTGCGGCTCGAGGCAGGTCCCGAGTTCGGCGACTGCAAAGGGTGCGGTTACGCCTGGGTGCGGTTTGCGATCGGCGCCGTGGGGGCCTGGCGGGCACGACACTCTCCTCGTCGGGCCTCCTCGGGGCACGGCGGGGAACTCTATCCAGGCACCCGCCCGCCCCCCATGGTGCCCCCCAGGGTGCCGATTGCAAACCACACCCTTTGCAAACCGCACCTTTTGGAGTCGCCGACGAGTTGCTCCGCGCCGACACCGTCGGTACATCGCCGATGCAGCGGGGAGGCACCGACGATGCGGCGCGATCGTCCGACCCCATCTGCCCCGAGCCCATCTGGGGGATGCCTCGATGCATGGACGGCTTGGTCCTGGTCCCGTGCGAGGCCACGTGGCTGGCGTGGGCAGAACGGGGTGCGAGGCGTCAGTGGCAATGCCTCGTACGATTCGGAGGTTGGTAGACCTCCTACCCTGACACGTCGATTAGTGGATTGGCCGTTCTCGGTTCGCGAGAGGGCGTCGCGGCCGTGATTGTTGCGGGTCCAGGTCCGTCGGTTTCGGTCTTAGGCCGTTTTCACTAAAGGGTGGTTTACTACAGGGAGTTTTGTCCACCGCCGAATGGTAGTGCCATTAGTGTTCACCACGATCATCACATGTACGGTTGCAACTACGCTGGGCGTCGACATTGGTTGTTGTTGTTGGTGCCGCGGGCCACTAGTACCACGACCATCGTGAGCGGTACCGAAGACGCCTGCTGCGAAGCACCTCCGCCATTAGTCCTTTGAAATCGCCAATGTGGCCAAACGTTCACTGGGCCAAAGTCTGGCCACGCTCTTGGACGATGTGATCCCCCAGCCTTTGTGGAAGCTCGTGGGGAAACATTGGAGGGAGGAAGAGAGAGGAGAGGAAGGGGGTGGAACAGGAGGAGGCGGAGGCAGAGGCGGAGAAGAGGGAGGAGGGGGATGAGAAGGCGGAGGATGAGGGGAAGGAGGAGGAGGAGGAGGAGGAGGAGGAGGAGGAGGAGGAGGAGGAGGAGGAGGGGGAGCAGGAGGAGGAGGAGGAGGAGGAGGAGGAGGAGGAGAGGTGAGGAGAAGAAGGACGAAGAGAAGGAGGAGGAGGAGGCCTATGGAGGCCTCCTTGCGGCTTCGTGGAGCCCTCTTGTGGGCCTCGGAGGCCTCTGGGGGGCATCGTGGGGGGCTCTCGGGCCGTTTCAGAGCTCGCTTGGCCTGTCGGACGCTGTCGGATGACGTCCGGGGGGCCTGAATCGGTGGCCGCCTTCGGGCTATTTTTGGGCGCAGTGAAGCCGTCCCTGAGATCTATAAGTGGGGCCGTCTTAGTTTGTCGTCATCGTCACAATCGTCATTGCAATCGTTATTGTCATCATCATCAGCATCATCATCAGGATTCTGAGTGGCTCCTGCAGGAGCTGAGGGAGGGCGGCTGGTGCATAGGTAAGCTCTTGGAGGATTCGGAGGTTCGCTCGGATTTCGTGAAGTTGGATGTGTCGCTGCTTCGTGGTTTGGACGTCCACCGTGCTTCAGACCATCCGCAGGTAAATCAGAGGCCCGTGGTGGTGGAAGGTGGCCCCTGAAAGTGTTACTGTATGACTGAGGGCGCTCCTGAGTGTCGGTCGAGCTTCACTACGTATAAGAAGTTGTCGACACACATACAGCTACATCACAAGCAGGTGGATGTATGGTCGGGCCTGGTGGTCACAAACCAATGCCCTGTGTGTCGCGATGTTTCTCGTCTCGACTTGCGGCCCTGCATCATCTACAATATAGAGTGTTTCGACCAAATCACCTCTCAGTGTCCAGATGTGGGTGAGGTGGTGGTCCCGACTGTCCTGGAGTGCGTGCTCTGCAGCCAAACGGCTCAGGATCTTCCTGAATTGCGCGGTCATTTGCTTGGACACGTACCCTCTCACGTTCGGCGGCAGCATGCCTCTGCAGGGGCCCAAGTGGGGCATCAAGAGGACTGCAGACGGAAAGCGACAGCGACAGCTCGTCGAGGCAGGCGCGAAGGCCACGACCAGGAAGGAGAAGCTCGAGAACATGGTGGTGTTCTTTGCGGCGCTGGCACTCCCCCAGGCGGCGGAGGTGAGAGACCTCATCGGGGCGACGTTCTACACCGTGCTGCTGGCGGCGGACCACGGCATCGCCAAGGCGATGGTGCAGGCGGGCAGAGACTACCACACGGCGGCGAAGGACCCCAAGGGGACGCCCAAGGGCGAGACCGACTTGTTAGGGCCGCCGTTCCTCCACGTCTTCACGGAGCTGGTGACAGCGGCCCATGGGCTGGGGGCGCTGGCGGAGAACCACAAGATCGTGTTGGGCAAGTTATAGGGGGAGGTCATCCTCCAGAAGCCGCTGACGGAGGTGGCGGAGCAGGTGCGGCACTGCCGCCGCAGGTTGACTCGCAAGAAGGGAGGGGTGAGCAACAATGTTCGCATCACGCTGTGTTTCAGCAGCCAGTGGCAGGAGCTCGAGAGCGCGGTACTGTCGGCGCTGAGAGTGGCCGACGCCGGGTTCAAAGCGGGCGAGCCCTGCGGAGCTGGAGAAGTTGGCTCGTCGTCTTCCCCTGAGCGCATGGCTAGCACGTTGCGAGCTGAGCTGCTTGACCCAGGTTTGGCGGTTGCTTCTTCGAGGCGGAAGGAGAGAGGAGAGATCCCCCCCCGTTTCGTCGAAGAAAGAGGCCAGGACATAAATCTGACCTTGAGAGAACAGTTTTCAAAGGCATCAGGTCGTAGCACAGATTCGGCCTGGTTGGCGGGCTGCCTGGCCAGCTCTAGCGGGCAACCCGCATCAGCGGCGCCAGCGAGCCCGTGCCCGACGACGCACGGGCCTGCGAGAGCGGTTAGGCGGACTCTGTCACACGAGTTGCAGCCCCGACGCAGCCACGAGGAGGGCAGGCCTGCTGCTGGTACCGATGCTGCAATGTCGAATGGTTGATGAATCGTCGTCCTCATCCTCATCTGCGGCATCACCATCATCATCATCATCATCATCACCATCATCATTTTAATCATCCTCATCACCGGCACCCTCATCATCATCAGCGTCATCATCATCACCTGCAGCATCATCATCATGATCATCAGCATCATCAGCTTCATCATCACGTCATTGTCGTCATCGTCATCGCCTGTGCATCCAGTCGTGGAGCTGTCCTGGAGGCCCCGGCTCGGCCGCGATGACCTTCTAGGGAGATATCGCCAGTGTTGGCGGAAGACTTTGAGCCGATGTGTGCGTGTAGCGTCCGACGGAACATGCGCGGTCGGACCGAAGTAAACGATCGAGGTCGGTTCGGGGAGGGTGCCCGAATGTTCTGCGTGTTTGCTGGATGTTCTTTTGCACCCTGGGTGAGGGCGCCCCCGAATGTGTTGGAATTCGGGCCTGTGGAGGGTTCCGTGTTATCGAGGATGTTGTTTGTCTGTCCCAGGTCCAGTTGTAGAGGTTACAGAAGTTGAAGAAGAGTACAACCTAAGGTGTTTCAGAGAGCAGTGAAAAGAAGGCCAAAGGGATACTATACAGAAAACCATGCGGGAGGCCACAATGGAGACCAGAAGGGAGATCAGGAGGGAAACCAGAAAGGCGACCAGACAGTCCACCGTGATAGTAAAGATGGGACAACTGTCCAAGGCGACCCTTGCATCCCACCCCTTCGGTATTCGGCATCCTTCGGCATTCTGCTGCGCTCCGCACGGAGAACGTCAACATGGCGTTTCAAGGCCCTTGCATCCTTTCACCGCGCATCCTTACTATCTTGGTCGAGTGTACGGGAGACAGTACGAGAGGCCATACGGCAGACAAGACCATCATTACTAGAGACCCGAGCGGAAACCATAGGGGAGATCACATTGGAGACCCTGCGGGAGAAAACCTGGCAAACCACACAGCAGGCCGCGAGTCGCCAGTTCCAGATTTGGATAGGTTCGCATCCACCGTCGACAACATTTTCAGAGTGTTTCTGGAGCCCTAAAAAGACGACAGCGCTAAAAGTACTGAAGAGCATGATACACGCATGTTGTATGCATCGTTGGGCTCTCTTGATTCAGCTTTCTGGGTGGACGGCGGGTTTGGTTAGAGATGTTCCGGAAGCGCCAAATTTTAGTCATGAGTCCAGCACGCTAGGCACGTTGTTGCAAGCAAAAGGGGGCAGCGGATCGAATATGCCTACTCGAATCACCGCCGCCCCCTGCCGTTTAGGATACGCCTATGGGGCCGAACGTTTGGGCGTGCGTTCCCCCAGCCGTTGTGGAAGCCTTTGGGGGGGGACACGTGCGGGAGGAAGAGGGGGATGAGGAGAGAGAGGAAACAGGAGGATGAGGAGAAGGATAAGTAGACCTCCTAGGAGCTTATTGGATCATTATTGGGTTGGAGGCCTCTTGGAGACCTCCTTGGGCCTCTTGGGGGCCTTTGGGGGCCTCTTTGGCTGTCTTACGGCGTTCCCAGCCCGTCTGCTGACATCGCAAGCCGCCTTGGGAGCCTCTCTGGGACGTGTTGGAGCCCTCTTGGGGCGCTGTACGGTCGTCATGAAGGCCATCTCGGGCGTCTCGGATGTCTCTTGGGCTATCTTGGGAGCCTTCGGGAAGCTGTCCAGGGAGCCTTTTTTGAGCCATCCTGGAGCCACCTTGGAGGCCTCTTGGGCAATCTTGGGGCACTATTGGGGGCCTCTACAGCCGTCGGAAGGCCGTTCTGAAGCAAATGCTAAAACCTGTCCGAATCTAAGAGAACTCAATGATTTGGGCCTCTTCTGGCCTTTCCGGAGGATCTTGGAAGCCGCTTGGGCTGTCTTGGAGGCCTTTTGGGCCGTCTTGGCCCCCTTGGAGCCATTTTGGGCTGCCTTGGGTGCATCTCAGGCCGTCTTGGGTGCACCTTGGGGCGATCTTGGGCTCTCTTGGGGGCATCTTGGCCGCCTTGGAGGCCACCTTGGCCGACTTGGAGGCAATACAGTGGAGTCCCATGCCAAGGAACACCCTGTTTACCTCCAGGGTACCCTGGGCTTCTTGGATTTCGATGGTTTTGTTATGGAAAGCGTGACGTTCCCACGCCAAAAGTCGATGGGCTTCCTGTGGTTTCAGGGTTGGATTTCTTGTGGAAGGTTTCTTGTGGTTGGGCCCCTACTGTATTCGGCCATCTCGGAGCGGACATGGCATTGGCCAATACATGTTGAGGATCTCTCCGGGTGTGCGGCGCGCTGGGACAAAGCCCCACGGGGATCTCTTTAGAACAAAACTTCGTTTGGCGAAGGACCCAACCATTTGCAGTTATGAGTGCCGCAGTCGTGAGTATTATCTTCGGCGGAGCTCCGTTTGGGAGGGGGAGGGGAGGGGGCAAAAGTGGGATAGCGGCCGCACGCGGCCGTGGATGTTTCTTGGAGGGCCTCTTAGAGGCCTCTTTGAGTATTCGGGGGGCTTCTCGGGGCGGTACTGGAGGCCTATTGGGGGACCCTTGGGGCCTGCTGGCGGTTTCGATGGCAATTCTTGTAAGGAGGGTTCCAGGGGCTCATTCGAGTTCCCTCTCTTGAGCGCTTCGCAGGTATGTCCTATGCCTTCATTGGAGACCACGGGGGCCTCATTGGTCGGGTTCGGGAGGCCCCTTGTGCCGTCTTGGACGCACCCAAGCCCGAAAAGGCAGGAGTGCTAAAAGCCATGCAGGCTCAACAAAATGTGATTCATGGACTTCGGCATCGTGGGCCAGACTCAAGGGCTTCCCAACACAGACCAGGTTGATAGACCTCCTACCCTGACACGTCGATTAAGGAATTGGCCGCTTTCCGTTCGCGAGAGGGCGTCGCGGCCGTCATTTTGCGGGTCCAGGTCCGTCGGTTTCGGTCTTAGTCCGTTTTCATGTAAGGGAGGTTTACTAAAGGAAGGTTTGTCCACCGCTGAATAGAGTTCCAGGATAGCTTCTTGGGGCCATCCTGCCTAAGACACCTGGGAAGCCAGGATGATCCCGCGAGCGGGGGGCCTGGAACATTCAGGTGAAGACAAGGGGACTCGAGGAGGAGCAGGAGGAGGATGAGGGAGGAGGATTTGGAGGAGGGGGAGGGAGGAGGATTTGGAGGAGGCGGAGGGAGGAGGGAGGGAGGGAGGGAGGGAGGGAGGGAGGAGGAGGAGGAGGAGGAGGTGGAGGAGGAGTGCTTCGCGGCACGGTGGCGCATTGCCCAGCTGCTTGCGACCAGTCCCGCTGCCGTGCCAGCGCAGCATTCGGTATGGCGACGCTTCGAGCACCGCCCACGGGGCCGTGCCATGTGGCACCTCTCGTCTATAGTCCTTGAGGGGCTCTCGTGGGGGCTGCGCGGGCCGTCTTCGTGCTGCTGGGTATCCGGTGGGGCTCTCTTGGGGCACTCTTGAGACCCTCGCGCGTCGCCTTCGGGGCGTAGTTATGAGTGCCGCTTGGGGTCCCTCTCGGCCGTCCGGGCAGTCCGGTAACGAGGGATGCTTTGAGCTCCTCCTGGAGCTCTCGTGGGCCGTCCTGTGCTTCTCGTGGGCCGTGTTTGGGCCCTCTTGGTGCCGTCCTCCGCCGTCGGGGGGGGGCCTCGAGGTTCACATCGGGCCACTCTTAAGCCGCGCATGTCCCTCTACAGCAGGAGTCTTCAAGAAGAGTTCAAAAACTAGTCTGGGCATGATTTGTTGTATTCTTTTGACGATTTGGGATCATTTTCAACTATGCTTATTTGTCGTCCAAAATCCGTGCGTTGCAGGACATGCCCGACCTAAGGCTACTCTGGCTTCCCTCTGGCTCGTCCGACAGGCCCCTCCGAGGCATTCCGAGCCGAGAGGCCCCGAGGATCCGCAGCACGCTGCTGCGAGCCCAGGGCGGTCTTAGAAGACTTTCTGCAGCGGGTCACTCGGCACGCCATCGAAGAAGAAGACATTGCACCAGAGAGAAATCCCAATCAGCGGATGGTCTGACATCATTCAGTCGATCTCACCAGCTGGCATCCACTGATTGCCATCGGTCTCCGAGAACCCGGAGCCCACCAAAATCGGCCCGGAACCAATAACCAGGAACCCGGGAACCTTGAACCGGGAACCCGGCAACCCAGCCGGCCAGCACCAACATCGGCCGGAAATTGTCGCCAAATTTTCTAAATTTCCGCTAGGACCCCTTCAGTGCAAGCACTGATTGGGGAACAGCGCAATAAACATACCCATCGGTTGTTGGGTGGTTGAGTAGGTATTTTTGGATTCCCAGATCCCAATCTACTTTCAGCGCCTTCCTACTTCAACGATCGAGTGGCGTCACATGTTCTTGTCCTCCTTAGGGGGCGGGTGGACACCCAATCTACTTCCAACGCTGTCCTACTTCATGTTTCTGCCTACTTCTTCCGACCGATGAGTATGCCACTGAACAAGAAGAAACGATGTAAACATAAATGTTAGGCGCTCCGCGCGGATGTCTTGGATCTGCGCTGGGCCCCCTTGGCAGCGCCTCCGGCTCCGCCCCTGGCGCGCTCCGCGCGCCAGGGAGGGGGGTCCAGCGCAGATTCAGGAAATCTGCGCGCGGCGCCAGAAGCTTCTGTTTATGTGGTTTGTTATTCTTCTATGCCACTCGCGCACGGGCGTGTCAGGTAAGTAGCTCGGCCGACGTTCAGTAGGGCTCCGCCTGCGGATACCTCAGCATGTTTCCCCCATTGGAGCGACTGTTGAGCTCCGCCTGCGGACACCTCAGCACGCTCTCCCCATCCGGAGCGGCACGACAGGAAGGGCAGTCCCGGAAGACCTCGTGACTCCTTTGATGCCTTGGAGGCCCCTGGGGGCCGCTGTGGCACCTCTTGAGGTACTCCTGGGAGCTGTCGTGGGGCTCTTGACGCCTGATGGGGGCTATTTGGGCGGCCTCGGTTCCGTTCCTTGGCCGTGTGGGAAGCGTCGGAGGCCTGCGGACGGCTATGGCCGCCCAGCAAGCCTCCGGAGGGAGGAGGATGCACGCGATGGAGCGCGGCAAGGAAGGGGGGGGGGCTTAAGAGATGTGCAGAAGCCCTTCCAGACAGTACGTGGCATGCTTGCTCGCCTCAACATGGCAGGATCACGGTGGTAGAAGTCCCACCACCAGATCCACTGCCAGTATCATTGGCACCAATATCAACACACTTACCATTGATACCATTGCTCCTAGAGCAGGCGCTCATACCAGCGTGGATGCACCCTTGCTACACATCATCGTACTTCCCCTTACCTCCGTCCTGCTATTTCTATGTGTATCCCACTTCGGCAGGTAATGATTGGATGCGTAGCTGGATTTGCAGACATGCGTTGGTCGTCGCCGATCTCCTTCGTCTGGCCCTGTCGCCGACGTTCCTCGTCTCGGTCCCGTGCCCATGTAGTCACCAATCTCGTTCCTGTTTCACTGCCCTTGACTGTCCACAGCCGGGTTCCCTGCCATGGTTGCCATCGGTTTCATTGGTTCGGTGTTATCCCGTGTTGTCCCTGGGTCGGTCTCGCGCCTTGACGTAATACAGGCAGCAGGGAGGGGAGGAGGAGGGAGGATGAGGAGAGGCGGGGAGGAGGAAGGGGAGGAGGAGGAGGGAGGAGGAAGAGGAAGAGGCGGAGGAGGGACGGATGCGGAAGAGTCGGAGGAGGAGAGAGGAGGAGGAGGAGGAGGAGGAGGAGGAACAGAAAAGGAGGAACTGAAGGAGGAGGAGGAGGAGGAGGAGGAGGAGGAGGAGGAGGAGGAGGAGGAGGGAGAGAGGGATGACAAAGACGAGGAGGAGGGATTAGGAAGGGAGGGAGGAGGAGGAGGAGAGGGGAAGGAGGAGGAGGAGGAGGAGGAGAAGGAGGAGGAGTTGGAGGAAGAGGGTGGAAGGAGCAAAGGAGGGAGGGAGGGAGGGAGGGAGGAGAGAGGAGGAGGAGGAGGAGGAGGAGGAGGGCGGAGGAGGAGGAGGAGGAGGAGGAGGGAGGAGGTGGAGGAGGAGGCGAGGAGGAGGAGGAGAGGAGGAGGAGCAGTAGGAGGAGGAGGAAGAGGAGGAGGAGGAGGAGCAGGGAGGAGCAGGAGGAGAACGAGCAGCAGGAGGAGGAGGAGGCAGGGGGGGGAGGTTGAGCCCGGGGTGGCAAGTGCATCAGCACCACCATACTCAAGCCACACTGGAAGGCGGGAGGGGGAGGACGAGGGACGAGCCGGGCGGCGGGGCGGGGCGCGGAGAGGAGGAAGGCCGAGGAGGGCGAGGCTCAGGAGGAGTAGCGCGGGGAGGGGGACGAGGCGTGGACTTGAGAGTCGGGGGCGGTCAGAAGGGGGGTGATGACTGGGGCGGGGGTGGAGATCATGGCGGGGGCCACGAGATCTCCCAAGCTTTCAGGGCGCCCCTTCTTATTTCAATGCGTCCCTGGCCACCCCCTGGGCCGCGCACATGCCGCCGGCCATGATTTGCGCCCCCCCTCTTGGACGCCCCCATCTTGGCCGCCCCCGAGAGGAGAGGGGGAGGAAGGAGGGAACGATCGAGGGACGAGGGTCCAGGGCGCGTCGCACGATGATGGGGGGAGCGAGGGAGCCGGGAGGGAGGAGGAGGAGGAGGAGGAGGAGGAGGAGGAGGAGGAGGAGGAGGAGGACATTGGTGTGGGGGAAGGGAATGAGGGTTATGATATGATTTTCCGATCTACTCTAGCCTGGATCATCTGAGAGATTTTCGAGCACCAAGACAGTACCACAATTTGGGGGTGTTCACGTGTCGGGCCCTGGGGAGCAATAATCGTTCGACACTTCGTCAGCGTGTCGGGCAGACACTGGTTCGGTATTTCGTTGGGTGCTCGAATGATTTCTGGGATGTGGCCCTGAAGTACCATGGGAAGAGCATAAAAACAAGGGATGGAAAGAGAGGAGGGGGGAAGGTAGAGAGGTCAGGGAAAAGAAAACTGGGTAGTCGAAGGCCAGACTGTCAGATTGGATTGGGCCCCAAGGGCCAATCTGGCCCGGCCAGACTGGATGATTTGGGTTATTCGCCAGACTGGATTCGCGTTGGCTCCCTCGCCAGATTGCCCCCGTTTGCCAGATTGGGCCTGCCAGATTGGCGCCAGATTGGCTTCGACTACCCAGGAAAAGGGCAGGAAGACAGTCACCCTGACAGTGAGGATGATCGACTTCCCAGGGGTACCCTTGCATCCTTGCCTTTCCCATCATCTTCGGTTCGCCCTCCACCACGTTCGATGGCCAGCCCCGCTCGAAGAGCCTCCACACCGGTGCCCAATGTCTTTGCATCATTACCGGGCATCCATACTATATGGATTGATTGCAGGTGTCGCGCAGGAGGCGAGAGGACTGAGCGGGAGAAGGAGGACGAGGGGGAGGAAGGAGCGAAGTGGTGGGAGAAGCGGAGGAAGGGGGGATGAGGGTACGAGAGGGTGTAGGAAGGGGACAAGAGACAAGTGGGGGGAGCAAGTTGGTCACCATCGTTTCTAACAGGTACCCCACTCTCCGCCTCACTGTCTGACGCATGGAGAAGGAGTTGTTGTGCATCAGTAGTATTGCGGTTGCCACTATAGTCCTACCAACAACAGGGAACATGCCGTAGTTGTTCCGTAGGGCCCCTTGAACACTGGTGGCGCCCACGCACCAGCTTTATAGGAGTGTTCCTCGTTCTCCACCTCGTCGTCCTGCTCCTGGTCCGTCCTCGCCTTCCTCCGCCTCATGCTTCTCTTCTTCGCCCTCTCCCCCATGTCCCGTCGTCCTTCTCCTGTTCTTTTTATCCTCTTCCCGCTCTCCGCCTCGTCGCCGCGTTCATCCCTCATCATCATCAGCAGCAGCATCAACAGCATCACCATCATTATCAGCAGTATCGTCATCGTCGTCGTCATCATCATCACCATCATCAGCATCATCAGCATAATTACCATCATCAGCATCATCAGCATCAGCAACAGCATCAGCAGGTTCATCATCGTCATCGTCATCGCATCCTCATCATCAGCATCATCATCGTCCCTCCTCATCATCCTACGTCGCCTCGGCTTACTGCTCCGCCGCCCCTCCCCCCTTTCCCACACCTCCCCTCCTTCCACTCCTCCCGCTCCCACTCCTCCTCTCCCCCCTCCACACGGCCCCTCGCCCCGTTTCCCCCTCCCTCTCAGCATCCGCCTCTTCCCCGTCGTCCTATGTACACCCCCACGTCGCCCCCCTCCCTCCTCCGCATATAACGCGGCCCGGCCTCCCCGTGCCTGCGGCGCGGGGCGTGGCGCCGAACGCCACGACCTGCGCGCGGCCTGGAAGCCGACCACCCGCGGATACCGCGGACGCGCCTGCCCTCGCGAAGCCTTGCCTCCTCGGTGCTGAAGAGGGAGGGCGACGACGGCGTGCGAAGACGCCGACGACGGCGTGGGAAGGCGGCGCGCGGCACAGGCGGCACAGGCGGCGGCAGCGACGGCGGCGGCGGCGACGACGAGTGAGCGACGACGACTGCAGGCGATGTTGACGACGTCGATGACGAATTCGAAGAGGTGCGCGGTTTGATTTACATGTTCCTGCCCCGCGGCAGGCAAACACAGTGGGCATGGAAGGGCGGATGCAAGCAGCAGAGAGTCGGCGGCGAGCGAGGGGGGGAATTGAGAGAAGGAGAGGGCCTTCTCAGAAGGTGGCGAGACTTCTCAGATTCTGAGAGGTTTTCCACGCCTTCGGGGAGGGCTTCGAGAACTTCTGAGAAGGCCAGGGGACTTCCGAGCCTTCGGAGAAGGCCCGCCCTTTCTCGCTTTCCCCCCCCCCTCGTTCACCGCCGAGATCTGATCAGCGATCCTCTCCTCCT